CGATGACATAATCGCGGAGGGCAAATCTGCACCGTTCGAAGCGCTAAGAAAAACCGCGACCCTACCGCGATGACATAATCGCGGAGGGCAAATCTGCACCGTTCGAAGCGCTAAGGAAAAACGCGACCCTACCGCGATGACATAATCGCGGAGGGCAAATCCGCGCCTTCCAAAGCACTCAGCACCCTAAACCTAACCCTAAACCTAAGCCTAAACCTAAACCTAGCCCTAAACCTAACCCTAACCCTAACCCTTACCTTAATTTAAATCGGCTTTCTGCCGCCGCGCTGTTTTAAAGCGCCCTTCTGTCGCCGCGCTGTTGTCGCGGCGGTGATGACGCGCAGTGATGACGTCACGGCTTTAGTGACGCGGTTTTATCACCACTATTTTGACGAGTGCGGTTTTGTCGTGCCACGGTATTTTTTAATGTAGAATTGCTTTAAATTGCTTACCAATTGCTCATTTAGTGACAATGGCACTGAATAATGAGACACAACTGACTCTTGAAGTTGCAGATGTCACAGTGCCCAGGACTCATGTGATTGTGATTTGGGTGTTTGGCAACTGGCACATATTTATAACGATAGCGACATCCCATAGCCGCATGATCACCATTTGCAACCCTCACTTGTGATAAGCTTGTGATAAGCAAAGTAGGAGAAGCCAGCAGCAACTTGCAAGTTACAGTTAAATGATGTTGCACTTAATGACCCATGGTGATTCACTTAACAATCACAACTATCCAACTGCCATCATAAATTGGGCATAGTCACTTGAGTTTTCACTTTATAATCGGGGATCCCAATTGCGTTGAGTAAGCGAGGGCTGCCTGTATTAGCAAGAAATCGAGGGTTTTTAATTAAAACATTGGGAAAGGATTTTTATTTTATTTTACTTAAGTATAGGAATATGTGATTGCTGTTCTTTAAAGCCTTTTTTATTTTCACAAGGAATTTGTCTCTGGGGCATAAGCTCTCAGGGTACATACAAATAACAAAGTAATATAATAACAATAGCACTTAGACTTATATACCACTTTACAGTGCCTTGCAGCTCTCTCTAAGCGGTTTACAGAGTCAGCATATTGCCCCCAACAATCTGGGTTCTCATTTTACCCACCTCAGAAGGATGGAAGGCTGAGTCAACCTTGATGGTGAGATTTGAACTGCCAAATTCCAGTCAGCCGGCAGTCAGCAGGGGTAGCCTACAATACTGCACTCTAACCACTGTGCCACTGTGGCTCATTATAATCATAAGATACCAATAATAGAAGATTATAGGAAAGATGAGAAGGATTCATTATATCTTATATCATTATATTCATTATATCTTTCTGTTGTAAATATATCAAAATTAACATTGGAAGTGGAATGGCTGGCCATTAACCAGTCCTGGGCAATCTGCATGATCTTGTCTCCTTTGGAAAATGAGTAGAAACTCACCTACAGAATATAAATAAGCTAATATTCAAAAGCAGTATATAATTTTCAATTTTTGTTTACTTATAGCACATTGGTTAATAAGCATTTCTGTCCCAGATGCGTTGCTTATGAACAATTTGTGGATATTTTATGAAGAGATTATGTGAGTTGGGTTCACCGACAAAACCGCGAAGCCCTTTTCCACGCCGACATAACCACGGAGGGCAAATCCGCGCCTTCCGAAGCGCTCAGCAAAATGCTTTTACTAGCATTCAAAAGCTAACCCTAACCCTAAACATAACGCTAACCCTAACCCTAAATCTAACCCTAAATCTAACCCTAAATCTAACCCTAAACCTAACCCTAACCCTAACTCTTACCTTAACCTAAATCGGCTTTCTGTCGCCGCGCTGTTGTAAAGTGCCCTTCTGTCGCCGCGCTGTTGTANCCACCAACAGTTTTGCTGCAGTTATTAGGTGCAGAATCAAGTTAGTCTCTACTACTGTAAAGTCAGTACATATACCTAGTAAAAATAACTGAGGATACTGACTCACATTCTGTATGCATCAAACATATTCAGTGGAACAATTTGTCATTTGACCAGCTTCCTGATATTCAGCTGCAAAGGGGAAATATTATGTAAATAATACAATGAGTTATATTTGGCTGGATTATCTAAAAGCATTTGAAACATGCTGCCTTGTTCTCACACAATACGCAATAACTCTCTCATCCAAATTAGAATCACGGTATCAAATGTCATAGTGTTCAGATGTTATTGACCAGAACAGCGCTGGAAATTCCTGACCTTAGAAATCTACATTATAATCTACTTTCTGATAAGCATGATTATTTTTTTGATAGCTTCCTTTAGTTTTGGACTTCCTCATGGGTAAATTATGGTGGAAATAGATGAAAGCCTTAAAGACATCCACAAATTACATCCCTTAATAATATCTAATGTATACAAGTAATAATCTATAGTGATTTAGGAAGATCTTCAATAAATTAAGGGTGTTGATAATCTGCATTTGTATGAACAAAGATAAGCGATTTCTCTCATAGTAAATAGTTCCCAATGTCTTCCTTTGGGAACAGCTTTTTAAAAGGCAATCCCAAATAACATTTTTTAGTGTGATACAAGGAAAATTATTGTCTTAACAATATGCTAAACTATGTTCTCTTAATTGGGTACACATGAAATATAGTTTTGAATTCTGTCCATATTAATATTTTGAGCAATATGGCCTATACACAATATTCAAAAGTCAAATATAATCTCAGTTTGGGCATAGAATTTAGCAGGGTGACTTAAAATTATGATAATGCAAATTCAAATCCCTTTTCAGATATGAAATTTCAAAAGGGATATAGTTTTAATCATTGGTTGACACTAGAAATTGCACTAAGCTATAATGTGATTGTTTCATTATGACTTTGTTTTGTGAAACAAGCCATTGTGGCTTATAAATTACTGTTTATGGCATATCAATAATAATATCAATATCAAAAATAATTATTATATTATATGGATGATGCCTTGATATGTTTAAGTGGTATGTGGGTGCAGTTCTTGTTCTTTCATCTAAGTGAACCTCTAGAGTATCTTTGAGGATGAACCCATTCATTGCATATACCATATTTTCTGTGTTACAGTATATAAGAAACCTGAATTTCAACATCATGAAGAACCAAGAATATATACAAAATGCAAACACACTTCACTCGTATCTAAGCATCAGACCAAACAAATCAGATTATCCTTGGCATTTAACAATTTATATGCAATAAGTCATGTATTCAGAAATATATATGTATTGAATATTACATCCATGAATTTGCTGGTTTGAGGGGAAGGCCACAGACATAAAATCTAGTTTACCCATAGAAATATTCACCAAAAAACAGCAGTAGCTTATTTTACAGGCCTTCTGACTATAATATGCTGAGGTAGCATCTTTTGCTTGTGTTTGAACTATAGAATCTGTTGCTGGTTGGCGCGGTGAAAAAGATTTTGGATTCTAGACTACAAGGAGTCCCAGGCACTAAATGTGGCAGTCCCAAAGCTCCAAAGAAAAAGATGGCTTCCAGGACTGACAAGCTGCCACCACCCCCCAAAAAAAGTTTGTGTCCTGGAGTGAGAGGAATGTAAGAGGTTAATTCAGTCAGTATCTTAACTACCTCCACCCCCAGCCCCCGGAGGACCCTTTCGCTTATGGGAAAACTTATCATGGAATTGTTTCACCAATTTATCAGATTCTACATCCCAACTTTTAACCCAAGTAACTTCAGACAAAGTGTCTCCTTTCTATAGACTAAATATTGTAATCTACCCTTATGTAGTCTCGATTCCAAAATCCTTTTTGCTTCATAAGGGTGTCTCCCCTTGTACTACAATGGGTTTGGGGGGTGCCACTTGTTGCGGTCTCAGTCTCAAACTGACAGTAGGCTTTAATAAAGTGCTATGGAAAACTGGATGTACTTTCCCTAGT